TATAAGGCCAGACCAAGTTAATTGTTTGGTTCTCATAACCCGGCCGGATCAATTTTACAAACCTTTAAAAACAATTTTCTAAGTATATTTACTATCCGGGTGGGTTTTTCTAAAAAAATTTATAAAAAATTTTATGTTTTTTTTATATAAAATTTTTTGAAAATAAAATTAAAAACCGGGTTGCCGGGTCACTTTCAAAAATTTTATGTTATGAGAACCAAAAAATTAACTTGGCCTGGCCTAATATTAACAAAATTTGCTTGGCATATAAGGCATAGATATATATAAACAAAAACATTAATATCTAATATCTGTCTAAAAATACCAACCATATGTTTAGGCATTGATACTAGATAACGGCATACTGCCAATATGTCTGGCACAGGCATTTGCAAATCCCTATTTCAAATATATACGTACTATCATATCAAATTTTATTTAAATATTTTAAATTGTTAAAAGTATTAATTACGTAGAATAAATGTTAGCAGATAATTTTAATAACAAACAAATTTATTACGTAGCATGTAGAAATGAATCCAGCAATCAGAGAAGCACATAATAACTATGTGATTTTGGATTCCATTGTGCTTCTTACCGGTGATGTCCTATAATGCGCATTGCATCGCATAAAACCTACGTACGTACGTACATACGTACTACTTTATTTAATTAATAGTAAAGACACGAATTTGAAACGAATAGAATACAAACTGAGGTTATATAAACAAAAATTATATTCACTAAAAGTATGATCAAAATTCAGTTACGCAAAATTTGTTACGTACAGCAAACAACTTAATACGTACGTACGTGCATACACTAAGGTTGATTTACTTAGTGTGAAAACTTGATACTGATATACTTATTACGATCATTTTTACTAATTATACACAACAAAGATAGATACACCTCAATCAGAATTTGCATCATCCAATTCGTCCCAACCAGATGAATCGAATGAAGCAAAAATCTAGTTCATGAGACATTAATCCTCGTTATAACATCATATAACACCAATTAAGTAAAAAATATTTGAGATATAGTGATCAGAATTAAACGATCAATGGTTACAATAATTAACATATTTTTTTACAGTACTACTAACCGTAATTAAATGACATGATATATAACAACTTTTAAAAAGGATTCAACCCGTTACTCAAGTCTAGAACTTATAAATTCGGCAGAATTTCCAAAGAAATCTATATGATTAAATAAAAGTCCTGTCTGGAATGACTTGATCAGAAGTCGATTCGCATGCATAACGCTAAGTGATTATGATTATGAAAGTTAAATGGGTCGAGACCCAGCTTGGTCTTTAAAAGTTCAGATTGAAACCAAGGGTTTAATGAGATCGGACTAGTCCTATCAGTATAGAAATAATCATGGAAACAAATAAAATATCGTATTACATATTAAAAATATTATTATTAAAAGTATTATTATGAGTGATCATGAGTTAGACTCAATGTATCCATTGTTGAATTAACTCGAAGAACCGACTTTTAACAACCCTACAATTACATTAGGAGTCCAAAGGTCAATATACACAAACACTGCACGAATCTGCAAGGGTTGTCGACCTCCAAAGGTTTTAATCTACTTAAATTTTCTATACGTAGTCATTGTATATACGCACCATGTAAATCATAGGACCTAGACTGCACACCCTGGACTCTTAGAATGTATGTAGAATTTTAATCTACTTTAAACATCGACAGGTTTGATTTTAGAATATGTTTGATAATAGGTTAGTGTTTCAAGTTTAAAAGATCTACAGGTACTGTACGTCGATTCCGCTATACCTAAATAATGAATAATGAATGGATCTCAATGAATTAATATTAAGATACATTGAATTTTTCTCAATGAATGGAACTATGCAATAATCGGTTAATTTAATTAAAATTTAAACATTAAAATTTTTTAGTTTCGAATCTGATTGGCCAAATCATGTAAGTAATATGTATGATGAATTTGGAATTACGGTAAATCTATATTGATATAATTTATTTCAAACTTTTATCAAAAAGCCATTAGAAAAATGAGCAAAACTTTTCAGTCATCGCTTCCATCTACCAATCCTCTGCATTTATACCGTCATACGCTTCGTTATCTTCGCTCACCCACGTTACCATTTCGATATCTATCTCCAAAGCTTTGTTACAACGCACGAGAGTTATTCGAAATTCATCGTAATGAACAAGATCCAAATAAAAAAAAATTCAAGAATTGGTAATTTGGGGATGGCAAGATTTGGAATTTTTAAAAGCTTGGAGATTTGTTGAAAAGGATATTTTGGATAAAATTTTTAGAGGGTATGGATCCAATAATAAAAAATGATAAATATATTTTTGGAGTTATATTAATACAGTAATACAGTATAGTTATGTTATATTACGTATCCAATTTTATATATATAGTTACATAACATTTATATATATATATATATATACCATTTTATATATTTACAAATGAAGGTTACATTTATGACATTATAATGAAGGATAAAAATAATGTTTCTCCGTGAATCGGTACGTACGGATGAGAAGATGAAACTTTTATAGAAATTCTATAATGAATAATGAATGAATAATGAATAAATAAAGAATAAATAAAGAATAAATATATGAATAAATATATGAATAAATACGTACGTACGTATGAAATACAAATTTAGTCATACCTTTTGAAAAAAATTAAGACTAACGCTAATGAAACGCGATGATTATAAGTCAAATTAGGTTTTTATGTCAAAAATTAGGTTTTAGCGTTATACGTTATACGATACTTACGATTAGAAATCATGCACAACAACAGGTTTTTTTTATTGGTAATATTTTCAGATGTTTCATAACCTTGATAACCTGTTTGTAGAATTGAGAACTGGTATGTGCGTAATTGCCATATAAACAAATTTTAATTATCTCAAAAATCTTGTTAGCATTTTGCTAATATTGCCTTAAATTGTATAGATTATTTATTGCTATATATATTGAATGAAAATGTAATTATCTAAATTACTATCAAATGTAGTACGTAGTTCATACGTAGTGTCGGTAATATGTATTTTATACGTTAGTGTTATATTATTAAATTCTAATTATTCTAATTATTCTAATTATTCTAATTATTCTAATTATCTTAACTATTCCAATTATTCTAATGATTCCAATTATTCTAATTATTCTAACTACTTTAATTATTTTTTTAATAATGATCATTATAATTCATAAATTAATAACGATAATAATTATACGTAAATGCGTCATTGGTGTTGTAAACTATTAATTAGTTTTTATATGTGATCCACATCAATTTAATCAATTTAATCAATTTAATCTTGATTGGTTTGACACTTTCCTATTGCTATGTCTGTATGTTAGTTTGTATGTTAGTTTGTATGTTAGTCTGTATGTTAATCAAATTGACTAGTCTATGTTACCTCAAGGTTCCCTCTTGCGTAATACATTTGATTTTGTGATTTACGCCGGTAAATTGTTACCTTTTAAAGAATTTGGGCTCGAGAAAGATTTGTGTTCACCATTAATATATGATTAATATTAATGTGTTCTAATAACAAGAAATTATCTGGTAAATCTCTATTCGAAATGTGTTAAGAAAAAAAATGGAAGTTTATTTAATGCCCATCTATTTATTACCTGTTACAATTTTAATTATTCCACCTCTTTAAAGTATATGAGTATAAATAAATAAATACAATTTATAATACACTTCCCATTTCGTAATGCCTTGTATATAAATGCTAATATGCAGGTTGTATGCTACGCTTCATATAAAACAGGCACTAGAGATATGCAATTATTTTTTTAAAGTTCGTACTTCGATCATATATATACTGAATTCATCATATATACAGTGTATAAATATTATGTATATACTGTATTACTATTTTTGTATAAAAACTTTGCCCCTTTTCTATTTCTCTTCCCTTCGACAATACTGCAATAGTGCTAATAGTGCCTTGGACTTTTTTTATAATTTTATAATTAGAATATTTACATCATCTTCATTATTTCATTATTTGTAATGTCATTAATTGGTCATTAATTGTTGATATCAATGCAAACTTTTTTTTATTTCAAAAATCACAAATTATTATTTAGTATATATATATATATAAGTCACGTTAATATTTGATTAATTTTTCCCCCTTCGCTTTTTTTTCTCAGTTTAACTCTTATTGTAAACCTTCAGTTGTTATATTCTTCTTGTTTATTTCTTTTCTTGATTTCTTTTTCTTATTTTATCTTGTACATATATAATTTTTCTCTTAAAATATAACGACGGTTTATGGATATATATAGTAATGCCTTCTCTGACAATATTTATTGGAAGGTTTATGCCAGTGGTTGTATTATCACTAATGGGATATACTTGTTACGTGTTCGTGTATTTAATATGTGGTACGTAAAGATTAAGATCTTAAGAACTAGAATATTATGTGAATTAAAAAGACGACGAGATTACGCGTAACAAGAGCGGGTCGATATTTCGTTTTGATTTATTCTTATGAAACAGGTCTTTGCTCGAAAGAAAATTCTTATCGACCCGTGTAAATTTAAAAATTTATTCAATTTCGATTTTTTTTTTATTTTTTATTTTTTTAATTAAAAGTTTTTGAAGCAAATCATTATTCTCATTCCCTTTTTTTTCTACATATAGTTAACAAACTAATTAGAGAATATCAATCAACCACGCAAGCTAGTAAGTTATTTTATTCATTTCATATTTTAATTATTTTGATACGCGTCATATTTACTATTTTTCATTCTCTAACTTTGTTTCAACTTTCGTAATGTAATTAAAAGTTATCTATCTGGTGATCTTTAGCATATTATTTATAATGACAATCCTGTCTTACTTCCGAATATTATTCCGAAAACCAGGATCTCCCGTAAGTTTATATTCACATCTTTTGCATCTTTCAAATCTCTCCAATCTTTTAAATCTCTTAGATCTTTCGTTAAATAATTAAAAGATATTCTATGGTATTTAATACCATTTACTCTATGTTAACGCTAATCGATTAGCCAATAGGTCCTAAACCAGATTCCATTTTATCGCAACATCCAAATATTGAAAATGCCGAAACAACTCCAATACCAATACCTTCAATACCTTCATTAAAATTATCTCAACCTACTTCATCAATATCTAATAAATACCAAATTCCAACTTCATTTACCGTACATCGTCCCAACCCTGTATCTAATCCTAATAACTCTTCAAATGCGGATGCTTTGTTACCTGTAGAAAATAATTTTGTTGCTAAAAGTCAACCAACTACTGCTGCTACTACTACAAATGTCATGGCTTCTTCTTCAATACATTCGGATATCCCTCCTAATGTAGTTATTCCAATGCCAAGTACTTTTGTATGTAAAAGAGATGGAAGAGTAAGATGGTGTGAAAATTGTAATTATGTAAAGCCAGATCGATGTCATCACTGTTCTGAATGTAATCGTTGCATTCTTAAAATGGATCAGTATGTATATATGTTCTTTACTATATTCTTTACTATATTCTTTACTATATTCTTTACTATATTCTTTACTATAATTGGTTTGATTATTATTTTTATTCGATTTTATTTTATTTTATTATTATTTTTATTGTTTTATTATTATTAAATTTCTTGATTTTTGTATTTTATCATAATTTAGCCATTGTCCGTGGTAAGTTAATTATAT